CTCGACCCTAGTCATAACTATAGACTAAACTATAATCTCGAATATACCAGACTATAGTCTCGACTATATACCAGACTATAATCTCGACTATAGATCAGACTGAAGTCTCGACTATAGACCAGACTATAGTCTCGACTATAGACCAGACTATAGCCCCGATTATATAACAGACAATAGTTTCGACTATAGACCAGACTATAGTTTTGACTATAGATCAGACTATAGTCTCGGCTATAGACCAGACCATAATCTCGACTATAGACTATATCTCCGCCTATACACCAGACAATAGTTTCGAATATACACCAGACAATAGTCTCGACTATATCAACTATAGTCTCGACTATAGACCAGACTATAGTCTCGACTATTGACTAGACTATAGACCAGACTATTGACTAGACTATAGACCAGACTATAGTCTCGACTATAGACCAGAATATTGTCTCGATTATAGACCAGACTATAGTCTCAACTATAGACCAGACTATAGTCTCGACTATAGACCAGACTATAGTCTCGACTATAGAATATACTATAGTCCTTATTATAGACCAGGCTATAGTCTTGACTGTAGGGCAGGCTATAGTCTCGATTATAGACCAGACTGTAGTCTCGACTATAGACCAGTCTTGGTTATATACCAGACTATAGTCTCGACTATTGACCTGACTATAGTCTCGACTATAGACCAGACTATAGTCTCAACTATAGACCAGACTATAGTCTCGACTATAGACCAGACTATAGTCTCGACTATAGACCAGACTATAGTCTCGACTATAGACCAGACTATAGTCTCGACTATAGACCAGACTATAGTCTCGACTATAGACCAGACTATAGTCTCGACTATAGACCAGACTATAGTCTCGACTATAGACCAGACTATAGTCTCGACTATATAACAGAATATTGTCTCGATTATAGACCAGACTATAGTCTCAACTATAGACCAGACTATAGTCTCGACTATAGACCAGACTATAGTCTCGACTATAGACTAGACTATAGTCCTTACTATAAACCAGGCAATAGTCTTGACTGTAGGCCAGGCTATAGTCTTGACTATAGACCAGACTGTAGTCTCGATTATAGACCAGATTGTATTCTCGAATATAGACTAGACTATAGTCTCGACTATAGACTATATCCCCGCCTTTACACCAGACAATAGTTTCGAATATACACCAGACAATAGTCTCGACTATATCAACTATAGTCTCGACTATAGACCAGAATATTGTCTCGATTATAGACCAGACTATAGTCTCAACTATAGACCAGACTATAGTCTCGATTATAGACCAGACTATAGTCTCGACTATAGACCAGACTATAGTCTCGACTATAGACCAGACTATAGTCTCGACTATAGACCAGACTATAGTCTCGACTATAGAATATACTATAGTCCTTACTATAGACCGGGCTATAGTCTTGAATGTAGGCCAGGCTATAGTCTCGACTATAGACCAGACTATAGTCTCGACTATAGAATATACTATAGTCCTTACTATAGACCAGGCTATAGTCTTGAATGTAGGCCAGGCTATAGTCTCGACTATAGACCAGACTGTAGTCTCGACTATAGACCAGTCTCGGCTATATACCAGACTATAGTCTAGACTATTGACCAGACTATAGTCTCGACTATTGACTAGATTATAGACCAGACTATAGTATCGACTATAGACCAGAATATTGTCTCGATTATAGACCAGACTATAGTCTCGACTATAGACTAGACTATAGTCCTTACTATACACCAGGCAATAGTCTTGACTGTAGGCCAGGCTATAGTCTCGACTATAGACCAGACTGTAGTCTCGAATATAGACTAGTCTCGGCTATATACCAGACTATAGTCTCGACTATTTTCCTGACTATAGTCTCGACTATAGACCAGACTATGGTATCGACAATAGATCATACTATAATCTCGCCTATAAAACAAACTATAATCAAGTATAGACAAATAAATGGTCAGGATTTGAGAAAAAATACAGCTTCGATTATTGTCAAAATTTTAATCTGGAATACGGACACGAGCACATTTTCTAGACAGGGAAAACTAAAGTTTAAAAAGTATAGTTTTTATCTAAAAAATCTCATTTGGAAAATAATATTTACATATATTCACCTTGTGTTTCAGAAATGTCAACAAGTCTTTATTGTAATAATGTAGAATATTATAAATATTTAACTTTTTTGCTTTCTTATGCAAATAGATAAACTCAAATAACTAATTGCTATATTATTGGCATTACCCTAATAATACTTACTTTGACACATATATTCATTTATGTGTACAATTAATTCATAGATGTAATAATGACTTAATTAGAACATCTGTAATCAATGTAACCTTGTACAGAAAAAAAATATTATTTATCTTAAATCTTTAATTACTACAAATTTATAATTAATGTAAAAGAACGACATTAGCAATCTAAAATATATTTAACTTTTAAATAAATTATTTTATCAAGAAAATATGTAGTTAATATTAACTTAATAAATTGTTGTTTAAAATTTTTATTTTAAAATTTAATATATTTACTTCATTAAATTTAGTATTCTTAATATTAAATGTTTTATTTATAAACATAAATATTTTTAGACTTTTTCATTTTATATATCCTTGATACTACTATGACTTATTTGTCTTATCATCCATTTAATATTAATAACCAAATGCTTGGTAAATAACAACAATGGCAATACAAAAACGAAAGGTCCTTCTAGAGTTTTTTTCCAATTTCCTTTTGGTTTTATTATATTTTTTATTTTTTTTTGCTCTTATTTTCTGGTTAAACAATGTCAACTGATGATGACATCAAAGTGTATCCATCTATTGTGTTTTTTATTATTTTTATTTATTTGTTTTTGTTTATCACTACTCGTACACTCGTATATAAGCTTGGTATGGTGACAAAAAAAATTGTTCTACAAGTTGTCATACTGTTAAGTCTTTTATATTGTTAAAAAAAAAAAACATTATAAATGAGAAAAAGAGTAAAAGTTTTTGAGACATTTTCTTTTTCGGGCAAGAAAAACAAGTCAAACCTTTTAGTGCCAGCATGTTGCTGCAGATGTTTAGCATAGAGTTCTGTAGTAAAAACAATTTTGTTAACATCCTGTTCAACAAGAACTAAAAATAATTATATTATATTGAAAAACACTGTGACGTATGAGTGTTATTTTGGTTGTTTTTTAATTAAATATAACGTATACGTCAATGAACGAACATACTACGGTGGGAGTAAAAATATTTATAAAAAACTTGAGACTATAGACAAGTCCGAAGAGTATAGTCTTAACTATAACTATATTAAGACGATATACAATTCTAAAGTTGACTATTAAGGCAAGATTCGAGAGTATATACAAATTTAAGTCGAAAGATTTCGGGCAAGACTAAGACTATATGAAGACTGTGGTCAAGACTACACTATAGCGAAGACTATATTCGAGATAATAGCTATGAATATAGTTGATTCTATAGACAAGAATATAGTCGAGACAATAGCTAAGATTATAAGTAGTGGAGACTATAGTGAATACTGTACATAACATATGTAATAAAAAGTTCTATAGTCGAGACTACAATCAAGACTATAGTCAAGGCAAACCTATATGGAAACTGTAGTTAATACTACATACGATACTATAGTTAATATAGTCGAGTCAATAATTTATACTAAAGTCGAGGCCATAGACAAAACTTTTCTTCCACAAAAAGGAGCGCACAACAGGCCCGTGGTATTTCTTTGGATTTGATGTAGTATACATCCTCCTATCAACCTAACCTATAGACAAAACTATAGTTAAAACTATAGTCAAAACTATTATCGAGACCATAGTTAAGACTATTTTAAAAACTATAGTCAAGACAACAGATAGTAGAATATATATATAGCAAGAGCCGAGACTAAAGACAAGACTATAGAGGCAAAAGTCGACACTATAAACATGAATATTTTCGAAACTATATGCGATTATATAATCAAGAATCGTGATTATATGAGGCTTCGATAAAACTGTAGTCCAAACTTTAGACGATACTATTGAAAAGACTGAGTCTACAGAATTTATTATAGACAAAACTATAGTTTAAACTATATATTATACTATAGAGAAAAATGTCATCAGAATGTCAAATACGTCATCATTTGCAATGAAATACTCTGCCTATCAAGTTCTAAACAACATAACAAACATGACTCCAATACATACAAACGAACAAACACTCAATCCTTGAACGCAATTGAACACAAATTTAAAAAACACTTTGTTAAAAAGTACTTAACAATATGTACATACAAAATACAAATTTTTGTTCAAACAAATGCATGATAAATAAATAATTTAATTTAAATAAGTATCGAAATATTTCAAATAAATTAGTTTTTCTATCTACTCAAAATAAAATGTATTTAAATGGATTGCAATTGAGTTTGTATGATTAACAAAACTAAATGAAAAATTCTCAAAAAAAAACCAAAGTTGATGAATGTTTTATAAAAATCAATTACTTGTTGTTATTTAAATTTTTTTTGTCTGACCAAAAAATAAATGTAGTTGAAAATTAAGATTTTTAGTTTTAACACCAAAAAAATCGTATTTTCAGATCCAGCACCAAAGCACGAAACACGTATTGTCTATCTAAATATTAGTAAGTGATTGTGAATACTAAATGAAGAAAATTTAGCACTTTAACAAAAATAATCACGCTATCACTCAAAGAACTCTGCAACTTATAACAAACAAAAACTTTTAATTAATTCTTACTAACAATTTTAACTAAATTTATTTATCTTTTTTTATTCCAAAAACTTTAAACTAATTCAAAATAGTTTAAAAATCAAGTTTAAGTATTACAAAAAAAATATATATTCCCCCATTTTATACATACTACATACATAGGTTTTATAAACTTTGAACTGTAAGATAAAAATCTCATATAATATCACTCAATATTTATTGTTTATTTGCAGCTGAAGAAGATACAACGGAAAAATCATCAACATGTGGCACAATATTAATATTGCTCTCGGTGGCTTTGTGTATACTAACACTACCTTTTAGTTTATTTGTTTGTTTTAAAGTAAGTCACGTTTTGCTATTTTTCTATTTTGTATTATATTTTCGCAACACTACTATATACATAACTATGTATATCTGCACAATAAATATTTTCCACTCTCACACATACAAATACTTGTATTTGAGTAGAGAAAAAAATAAACATAATATTTGTATTGGCCTTCATCACACAAAGAAAATGGCACAAGCAACATTTTTCTATTGTCTACTTTTGGAGGTTTTAATAAACAGTGGATTTATCTGAATGAAAATGTTGAATAACATAACAGGAAATAATTTTGAACTTTAATAAATAAAACTTGTTGGAACTTTTATATTAAGAAATAACTTATAAGAAAAAATTTCCTTACATTTAGAAATGTAAGGGTGACCCTTGAGACAGGACCTTAACAGAGATTCTTGATATTTTTATAAAGGAAAATAATTACACTTGGCTATAGTAGAGACTACAGTTTTTTAAATTACAGTTGAACTTAACTGAAGCTGAGCTAGAACTGAACTAGAACTGAATTAGAACTGAACTAGAACTGAACTAGAACTGAACTAGAACTGAACTAGAACTGAACTAGAACTGAACTAGAACTGAACTAGAACTGAACTAGAACTGAACTAGAACTGAACTAGAACTGAACTAGAACTGAACTAGAACTGAACTAGAACTGAACTAGAACTGAACTAGAACTGAACTAGAACTGAACTAGAACTGAACTAGAACTGAACTAGAACTGAACTAGAACTGAACTAGAACTGAACTAGAACTGAACTAGAACTGAACTAGAACTGAACTAGAACTGAACTAGAACTGAACTAGAACTGAACTAGAACTGAACTAGAACTGAACTAGAACTGAACTAGAACTGAACTAGAACTGAACTAGAACTGAACTAGAACTGAACTAGAACTGAACTAGAACTGAACTAGAACTGAACTAGAACTGAACTAGAACTGAACTAGAACTGAACTAGAACTGAACTAGAACTGAACTAGAACTGAACTAGAACTGAACTAGAACTGAACTAGAACTGAACTAGAACTGAACTAGAACTGAACTAGAACTGAACTAGAACTGAACTAGAACTGAACTGGAACTGAACTAGAACTGAACTAGAACTGAACTAGAACTGAACTAGAACTGAACTAGGACTGAACTAGAACTGAACTAGAACTGAACTAGAACTGAACTAGAACTGAACTAGAACTGTACTGCAATTCAGTAACTTTTTAACTAAAAAATTTTGTCGTTAAATAGTAAAAATTCGTAAGTTAACATAATTGTCGTTATGTGGTATTCTGAATTATATTTCACCGATTTTTTTCGTTAAACATAACGAAAGTATCGGCAATGTAACGACAAATAAAAAGTTCACGTTAATAATTTTATATTTTAAAAATATTTCAATACAAAACATTTGACATTCTCATATTTTTCCGAAATTTGTCGTTAAAATATTTTAAGGTCGTTAAAAGTTACAGAATTGAAAATTCGTTAATGCAACCGATATTTATCGTTACTTTACGAAATCGGTAGTTAAAATTAAAAAATTACAGAATTGCGGTACTGAACTGGAACTGAACTAGAACTGAACTAGAACTGAACTAGAACTGAACTAGAACTGAACTAGAACTGAACTAGAACTGAACTAGAACTGAACTAGAACTGAACTAGAACTGAACTAGAACTGAACTAGAACTGAACTAGAACTGAACTAGAACTGAACTAGAACTGAACTAGAACTGAACTAGAACTGAACTAGAACTGAACTAGAACTGAACTAGAACTGAACTAGAACTGAACTAGAACTGAACTAGAACTGAACTAGAACTGAACTAGAACTGAACTAGAACTGAACTAGAACTGAACTGAACTGAAACTGAACTAGAACTGAACTAGAACTGAACTAGAAACTGAACTAGACTGAACTAGAACTGAACTGAACTGAACTAGAACTGACTAGAACTGAACTAGAACTGAACAGAACTGACTAGAACTGAACTAGAACTGACTAGACTGAACTAGACTGAACTAGAACTGAACTAGAACTGAACTAGAACTGAACTAGAACTGAACTAGAACTGAATAGAACTAACTAAACTGAACTAGAACTGAACTAGAACTGAACTAGAACTGAACTAGAACTGAAACTAGAACTGAACTAGAACTGAACTAGAATTCTGAACTAGAACTGAACTAGAACTGAACTAGAACTGAACTAGAACTGAACTAGAACTGAACTAGAACGAACTAGAACTGAACTAGAACTGAACTAGAACTGAAACTAGACTGAACTGAACTGAGAACTGAACTAGAAACTGACTAGAACTGAACTAGAACTGAACTAGAACTGAAATTCTAGAACTGAACTAGAACTGAACTAGAACTGAACTAGAACTGAACTAGAACTGAACTAGAACTGACTAGAACTGAACTAGAACTGAACTAGAACTGAACTAGAACTGAACTAGAACTGAAACTAGACTGAACTAGAACTAGAACTGAACTAGAACTGAACTAGAACTGAACTAGAACTGAACTAGATCTGAACTAGATCTGAACTAGAACTGAACTAGAACTGAACTAGAACTGAACTAGAACTGAACTAGAACTGAACTAGAACTGAACTAGAACTGAACTAGAACTGAACTAGAACTGAACTAGAACTGAACTAGAACTGAACTAGAACTGAACTAGAACTGAACTAGAACTGAACTAGAACTGAACTAGAACTGAACTAGAACTGAACTAGAACTGAACTAGAACTGAACTAGAACTGAACTAGAACTGAACTAGAACTGAACTAGAACTGAACTAGAACTGAACTAGAACTGAACTAGAACTGAACTAGAACTGAACTAGAACTGAACTAGAACTGAACTAGAACTGAACTAGAACTGAACTAGAACTGAACTAGAACTGAACTAGAACTGAACTAGAACTGAACTAGAACTGAACTAGAACTGAACTAGAACTGAACTAGAACTGAACTAGAACTGAACTAGAACTGAACTAGAACTGAACTAGAACTGAACTAGAACTGAACTAGAACTGAACTAAACTGAACTAAACTGAACTAGAACTGAACTAGAACTGAACTAGAACTGAACTGAACTGAACTAGAACTGAACTAGAACTGAACTAGAACTGAACTAGAACTGAACTAGAACTGAACTAGAACTGAACTAGAACTGAACTAGAACTGAACTAGAACTGAACTAGAACTGAACTAGAACTGAACTAGAACTGAACTAGAACTGAACTAGAACTGAACTAGAACTGAACTAGAACTGAACTAGAACTGAACTAGAACTGAACTAGAACTGAACTAGAACTGAACTAGAACTGAACTAGAACTGAACTAGAACTGAACTAGAACTGAACTAGAACTGAACTAGAACTGAACTAGAACTGAACTAGAACTGAACTAGAACTGAACTAGAACTGAACTAGAACTGAACTAGAACTGAACTAGAATTGAAGGAACTGAACTAGAACTGAACTAGAACTGAACTAGAAACTGAACTAGAACTGAACTAGAACTGAACTAGAACTGAACTAGAACTGAACTAGAACTGAACTAGAACTGAACTAGAACTGAACTAGAACTGAACTAGAACTGAACTAGAACTGAACTAGAACTGAACTAGAACTGAACTAGAACTGAACTAGAACTGAACTAGAACTGAACTAGAACTGAACTAGAACTGAACTAGAACTGAACTAGAACTGAACTAGAACTGAACTAGAACTGAACTAGAACTGAACTAGAACTGAACTAGAACTGAACTAGAACTGAACTAGAACTGAACTAGAACTGAACTAGAACTGAACTGGAACTGAACTAGAACTGAACTGGAACTGAACTAGAACTGAACTAGAACTGAACTAGAACTGAACTAGAACTGAACTAGAACTGAACTAGAACTGAACTAGAACTGAACTAGAACTGAACTAGAACTGAACTAGAACTGAACTAGAACTGAACTAGAACTGAACTAGAACTGAACTGGAACTGAACTAGAACTGAACTAGAACTGAACTAGAACTGAACTAGAACTGAACTAGAACTGAACTAGAACTGAACTAGAACTGAACTAGAACTGAACTAGAACTGAACTAGAACTGAACTAGAACTGAACTAGAACTGAACTAGAACTGAACTAGAATGAACTAGAACTGAACTAGAACTGAACTAGAACTGAACTAGAACTGAACTAGAACTGAACTAGAACTGAACTAGAACTGAACTAGAACTGAACTAGAACTGAACTAGAACTGAAACTAGAACTGAACTAGAACTGAACTAGAACTGAACTAGAACTGAACTAGAACTGAACTAGAACTGAACTAGAACTGAACTAGAACTGAACTAGAACTGAACTAGAACTGAACTAGAACTGAACTAGAACTGAACTAGAACTGAACTAGAACTGAACTAGAACTGAACTAGAACTGAACTAGAACTGAACTACAACTGAACTAGAACTGAACTAGAGCTATAACCGACCTAAAACTGAACTCGGCATTAGACAAGTCTGTAGTTTCGGCTATAGACCAGACTGCTTGTCTTGGATGAAGACAAAACTATAGAATTTAAATATACTTACATCAGTATTTTTGTGTGTTGAAGGTTGTCTTAATTTGTATATACATATATTTTAAAATAAATATTTTTTTACCTTTTAAGGTGGTACAGGAATATGAAAGAGCTGTTATATTTAGATTGGGTCGTTTAATGCAAGGAGGCGCCAAGGGTCCTGGTAAATATTAAGCACTAATTAATTACATTGCCCTTTTTGGCATAATACTAAAACAAACTTTTCTTATTATTGTTATTTATAATTTAAACAAAAACAAACTTTCAATTGCCAACAAACAAAACAAACAATTTTCCCAAATCCACTTTAGGTATTTTCTTCATTTTACCCTGCATCGATTCATATGCTCGTGTTGATTTACGTACTCGAACTTACGATGTACCACCACAAGAGGTAAAAAACAAAAAACTTTTTTTACGATTTTTTTTAAACAATAATTTTCACTAAGTATGTATATTTGTGTTAAAGTATTAAAATGTACACTCGTATAAATATATCAACGAGTCAGCCATGAGTAACTGTAAACAAGTTACTTTACACAGTTTTGTATTTGATGTAAATTTTACTTTTATGTGTGTATATATTGATGTAAATTTTGTTGTAAGTGTATATTTTTTAGTTTTTATTATGTTATATATTTTTTATATTTTTTTTCTTGTTTACCTTAAGGAAAATGTAAATTTTAAATTATACTAATTTAATATTAATCAAACACTGCCAAAAGGAAACTTAAAATTTACAAACTCAATGTATATTTCCTGTTTCACTGTGTTCTGTTTATTTGTATTTTGCATGTCTTTTATGTGTGTGTGTGTGATTTTTGTAAATTTATTTTTTCTAGAAAATTTCTCACATGTATCCCTTTTTATGACAGAAATATGTAAATAGTTTTTTTTAGTTAAGATTCTATTTGTTAGCAGTGGTGTACAACTTTATTCCCATTGCAATAGGTTATCAGAATTGGTCGACATCCAGAATAAGCATTTCAGCCATCATTATTACTGAAACATCATATTACTGAAATATTCTTAACTAAATGGGAATTAACATGTTGTAACTCAATTTTACGAAATATTCCAAAAGAAACCTATACAATGGAAGCAAAGGTTGTACTTCACTGTCTCCATTATTGTTATTTTCATTTGACTGTATCACTGTTAGATAATAAAAGTTTATTTTTTTCCAAAAATACTATCTGTTGTAATTTATTGTAGTTTTTAGTTTTAACTTTTTAACAAATATTTGTTTGTTGTCAATACTACAACGTTATTGTTGTTGTACTTTTTTTTTGCCAAAAATATATATGTTGTGCATATTTCGCGTGGAATGTCTAAACTTTTTTTCATAGAAAAGTTTAAGTAGATTTTAAATGAACATAGCATAAAAGCCAACAAAGCTTAGAAAGCCATTTTAGTTAAAAAATATTTTTTAATAAAAACATTGGACTATTTGTAAAATAAAAAAATACTAAAATCGGATGTATAAAAACATACTAAAAGTTTTTAGATATGTACAATATTTACCTTCCAACCATTTTTAACAACAATTAGGGTGACCCAATTACAGGCTGTTTTTCAATTGCTGATATAAAAATAATAAAAATAATAGTTTAAAGATGTTTAATATTTTCATTCTCCATGCCTTGATTAGCTTAGCAGCTTCTTTTATGTCAAGTCAGTAAACCAAGAACTTTTTTATCGATTTTATTTCTATATTTAGCTCTAGTTCAATTCTAGTTCAGTTCTAGTTCAGTTCTAGTTCAGTTCTAGTTCAGTTCTAGTTCAGTTCTAGTTCAGTTCTAGTTCAGTTCTAGTTCAGTTCTAGTTCAGTTCTAGTTCAGTTCTAGTTCAGTTCTAGTTCAGTTCTAGTTCAGTTCTAGTTCAGTTCTAGTTCAGTTCTAGTTCAGTTCTAGTTCAGTTCTAGTTCAGTTCTAGTTCAGTTCTAGTTCAGTTCTAGTTCAGTTCTAGTTCAGTTCTAGTTCAGTTCTAGTTCAGTTCTAGTTCAGTTCTAGTTCAGTTCTAGTTCAGTTCTAGTTCAGTTCTAGTTCAGTTCTAGTTCAGTTCTTCTAGTTCAGTTCTAGTTCAGTTCTAGTTCAGTTCTAGTTCAGTTCTAGTTCAGTTCTAGTTCAGTTCTAGTTCAGTTCTAGTCAGTAGTTCAGTTCTAGTTCAGTTCTAGTTCAGTTCTAGTTCAGTTCTAGTTCAGTTCTAGTTCAGTTCTAGTTCAGTTCTAGTTCAGTTCTAGTTCAGTTCTAGTTCAGTTCTAGTTCAGTTCTAGTTCAGTTCTAGTTCAGTTCTAGTTCAGTTCTAGTTCAGTTCTAGTTCAGTTCTAGTTCAGTTCTAGTTCAGTTCTAGTTCAGTTCTAGTTCAGTTCTAGTTCAGTTCTAGTTCAGTTCTAGTTCAGTTCTAGTTCAGTTCTAGTTCAGTTCTAGTTCAGTTCTAGTTCAGTTCTAGTTCAGTTCTAGTTCAGTTCTAGTTCAGTTCTAGTTCAGTTCTAGTTCAGTTCTAGTTCAGTCTAGTTCAGTTCTAGTTCAGTTCTAGTTCAGTTCTAGTTCAGTTCTAGTTCAGTTCTAGTTCAGTTCTAGTTCAGTTCTAGTTCAGTTCTAGTTCAGTTCTAGTTCAGTTCTAGTTCAGTTCTAGTTCAGTTCTAGTTCAGTTCTAGTTCAGTTCTAGTTCAGTTCTAGTTCAGTTCTAGTTCAGTTCTAGTTCAGTTCTAGTTCAGTTCTAGTTCAGTTCTAGTTCAGTTCTAGTTCAGTTCTAGTTCAGTTCTAGTTCAGTTCTAGTTCAGTTCTAGTTCAGTTCTAGTTCAGTTCTAGTTCAGTTCTAGTTCAGTTCTAGTTCAGTTCTAGTTCAGTTCTAGTTCAGTTCTAGTTCAGTTCTAGTTCAGTTCTAGTTCAGTTCTAGTTCAGTTCTAGTTCAGTTCTAGTTCAGTTCTAGTTCAGTTCTAGTTCAGTTCTAGTTCAGTTCTAGTTCAGTTCTAGTTCAGTTCTAGTTCAGTTCTAGTTCAGTTCTAGTTCAGTTCTAGTTCAGTTCTGTGGATGCTTATAATGCAATAACTCCATAGATTATTTCTGGAAGCATTTCGGCCTCTTCTGGTTACTTGGTTTAAGAAAACTTTTTAAAACAGTAATTAAAATAGATTGTGTTTGGTAATTTTTTATTCAATTTTTAAAATCTCTCTATATGTTGTCATCCAAAAATCTGAATCTGGTTCTCATTGGATCGGCTCTGCTAAAAGTTTATGCTAAATTCCCATTTTTTCCTGGGTATTACTATATTTTTTTTAATTAAATATAAATGTTGTAGGTTTTTTGTGCAAAGTCTAAAAGATACAAATGTTTGTTTTGTTTTCTCTTACTTTATTTCATTTAGTCTCATGTATTCCAAATAGAACAATAAATGTCACTTGCACATCCTTGTCACTTGTTTATAAAATCCCCATTCTCTAAAAAAGCATGAATTTCCTTAAAAATTTTTGTATTCAACACATAATTTCTAAACACCGATGTTGTTGATATTAATAAATAGTTTAAATGTTTAAAAAAAACTTATTTACTCTAAACTATAAACACTTAAACCGCATAATAACACAAGCCTTTTTCCCCTTTTTACTAATTTTTCAAATAATTTGTTTTAATAATAAAAACCTAACAAAAATTTCAGTAAAATATACATGTAATTGGCAAAACAAAAATTAATTAATTTATGCTAAAGCTTTAATTAGAAATTCACAAAAAAACTAAGGTTTTCTAAATATTTTACTGGAATATAAAATTTATTTATAAACTATAAACATGAAATTTATTTTAAATTTTACATATTTTTTTAATTAATAAATTAAATCAATAAAATACCAAAAAAAAAACAAATTGCTTTAATTAATAACAAAATCAAATCATTAAAAAAGTAACTCAAAATTTCAAAAAAAAAATCTTTTAGCCATTAAAAAATATAAAAAATATAGAAACATGCAAACTGATTTGATGTAATTTTTTTCGTGTCAACAAAATTACATGTCGAGTTCTTCCAGTCTGTGTTTTGCGTGGTTTAGGCTGTTTTTCTTTCCCAAAACTGCTAATTGTAAAATAAATTATAAATATTGTTTTTACTCAAAGAAAATACTTAATTAAAAATGTATATAATTAAACATTTTGCATAAAAACAATACCATACAACTATAATGTATGTATTTTAGTGTATGTTAATGAAATTTTTAAATTTAAATAATGAAAATAGTTTTATTAACGTTAACAAACGAACTACGAAACGTTCTGAATGAATTTAGTTTTACATGATTTTAAAATAAAAGTTCATATAATGATAAAGTTTACCACGCTTAATTAATTTATATGGATGATTTCGAAAAACTGTGAAAACTGTTGAAATTTTCTTCAAAAAAAAAGTTTCTCTTTGCTCTTGGGTTTTAAAATTGCAGTGCTGCGAAGGCTTACATATAAATTGGATTTAAGTTAAAAGTTTGTTAAACTTAATATTATAATAAAAATTTCGTTTATTGCACAATGGGTAGCAGGTATAATTTTACCAACAAAAACTTATTTATAGCGGAAACAATTTTTTTATATAGAAAAGCTTCTCAAAGGAAAAAGTTTTTTATGTTGAAAAATTTTAATAAATATGATAAAAGCTTTTTTAGTTTATATACTTTTTTAAATAGCAAAACTATTTTTTTGTTAAAGCTTTTTTACGGCGGAAAGGCTTTTATATGAAAAATTTTTTACATATGAAAAAAGCTTTTTCAATGAAAAACAAACTTTTTATAATAAAAATAAGGTTTATATCAAAAGAAATGGTAACTGTGTAAAAGCTTTTTATGATGAATAGTCGTTTGTTAATATAGCGAAAAACTATTTCTTAGAAAGGAAAAAGCTTTTTTAAAAAAACAGTTTTTCATCAAAAGAGCTTATTCAATAAAAAGTTTTTATGGTCATATAGCAAAAAAAATGTTTTTTGTCAAAAAGCTTTTTTATGGTCAAAAGCCGAAAAGTTTTTTAAAGAAAAACTGCAGCCCCAAAAGGTTTTCTATTAGAAGCTTTATATTAAAAAGGCTTTTCTATTAACAGCTTTATTAGAAAAAGCTGTAACATTTAAAAAGCTTTTCTGTTAAAAGCTTTATATTAAGTTTTTCTATTAAAAACTTTATTTAAAAAAGCTTTATATTAAGTTTTTCTATTAAAAGCTTTATTTTAAGTTTTCCTATTAAAAGCTTTATACTTAAAATTCGTTAAGTTAAATAGTTTTTTTTTAAGTATTTTTGTAGAGAAAACGATTTTCTAAAGAAAAAAATTTTCGATAGAAAACGGTTTTATTACAGCAAAAGTTTTTCTATAGGAAAGAAGTAAACCTTTTAAACTAAAACATTTTTTATAATTTTTTTATCCTGAAAAATTATTTTTAATAAAAAAGCTTGCATATGGCGAAAAACCTTTTTAAGCTAAAAGACCTTTTTTCTAGTAAAAAATAGTTTTCATGTTACAAAAACTTTTCTTATTTAAAAGAAATCTTTTTTGAAAAAGCTTTTCTATAGGAAAAAGTTTAATTTCAAAGTTTTTCCAGATGGAAAAAAGCTTTAATTAAAAAGTTTTTCTAAATGGAAAAAAGCTTTTTCATTCATATACATTTTGAATATCATAATTTTTTAGAGTGGTAAAGCTTTTTATATTAAAGTAATTAGTTTTATTAAAAAGCTTTTTGATCAGAAATTTTTGTAATTTAGAAAAAAAGCTTTTATTTGATGAATAATTTTATCTTGTGCCAAAAAGCTTTTTCAATCCTATTTATTTGGAAAAAGTTTTGTTATTGAAAATCTTGTCTTAAGCTAAAAAGCCTTTTGATTATCAAAAAGCTTTGTTATATGTTTCGTCAAATATCTATAAAAGCTTTTTAATTAAACTTTTTTATATACAAAGCTTATTATATTATTGTGAAAAGCTTATAAGCATAAGGAACATTTGAAGTAATTTTTTTTATAAAAAAATTGGTTTTCTGAAACATAATTTTTAGTTACTAGAAGGTTTTTGTGTTTATAAGCTTTTTTAGTATAAAAGCTTTTCAAATGTGAAAATGTTTTTTTTTATAGAATATAAGCTTCTTTTAGGTGAAAGGTATATTTTTTAGAACTATTTTTTATTTACAAAGAAAAAGTTAATAAAGACTTTTCTATAGTAAAATAACTTCTTTAGATAAGAAAAGCTTTTAATAGTGAATACATTCAAACGGCAGAACGGCTTTTTGCGCTAAATAATGTAAATTGTTTTCTGTTTATAATTACTACTATTTAATAGTCCTAATCAAAAAAACATATACATTTTATAATATTAAATTTCCTTACCCATTGTGCACTGATCTACATAAAATGTATTTATCTGTGTGTAAAAATTTTATAATTTTCGCACGACTTCAAACAAACTTTACAAATAAATTTTATATTTAATGTTTTGACAGCAAACAAGGGTAACTATAACCTCGGACAAAAAACTAAAATCTAAAATTACAAATCGTATGTAAACAGCACAAACACACACTATAACTTTATAACCCAAGAGTTTGCTCCACGTATCGCTATAGCGCAGTTGGTCGAAATCACCCACAAAACAAATAAAACAGAAAACAACATAATAAGAAGTTTATATTTAAATACAAAAAAAGGTCAACGACAAAATAACTTTAAGAAACCTCCCAAAAAAGGGAGCAAATTCTCTTGTAAATACAAATAAACTACAACTCGAACAGCAGTTAAATAACAGATAGATACAAAAACACATAAGAATATGTGTATCTGTATAAAAAAATAATTATTTTAAGAAATTTATTTTCTAGTTATTTATACATTCAAGTATTTTTGTGTAAATAAACTACAACATTTCTTCAGAGCCAATTTAAAAGAAGCTGAGAATGGCTTTATATCAGAAAAAAACCTCCAACAAAAGGATTTATTCCCATACAAAAGCTTTATCAGCAAAAAAAAACTATATTTTAAATAAATGAAAAACAACAGCAACAAAAAAGTTTAGTGCATTTCACCAGCGAATAATGTACATTGTATATAAACAGACTTAAGAAACCAAATCAACTATATAAAAAAAGGAAAAAAAAAGAAAATTACAATAAAAAAAATAAACGAATTCAAAACGAAATTGTATGTTAACAAATACGATTTTTGTATTCCCAGTTGTTTTTAGCTGGAAAAAAGTAACAAAAATGATAAAAATATGCAAAATAAACAGAAAAAAATAGAAAAACTACTTTCTACTTTGTCAACTTTTGCCACTATTTGTTATCGAACTATATAGAATTATACATATAAATCAACATTTACTACTAACATTTCTCCCAAAAAAAAAAAAAAAATAACTAGAAAAAACGATGATACAAATAATAAAATAAATATTTGTATCTTAAAGTTATCTCTTATGTATTTTTACCATATTGTATGTGTTCCAGCGTATTCGTTTTAAATTATATGGGGTGTTTCATATTGAGAAGAAATAGCGAAGGGACGCCGGTGTAATTTTTACAAACAAATTTATCATTTTTCTCAGGTTCATATCTTGCAAACCAAAAAATTAGGCGTATACATAATATTGGTAATATAAATAAATCATTAACACGTATACGTACAGGTGTCTTTAATATAAGCAGTGAAATTTCACCATATAAAAGTTTTCATTTGAAATGAAAAAGTAAGATGAAGTTTTTTTGATTTTATATGTTCACAATACTCGTTATTCATGGCAAGAGCTACAACTTTAGTTGTAAATCAAAATTCCGTACTTTTTGAAAGATATGAGCCTGATACAATGATCCCTTTTTTGCAAGCATTACACCTACACTTCTAAATCTTTGGCGGCCCATAAAAAGTGCATGACTTTGGCAAAACTGGGAGAAACAAGTCTTTTTGTCTTTATAACGTAGTGTTTCCGTAGTGTGACGAAAAAGCTTTTTATTTTGCAGTAAACCATCTTTCTTAGAGTACATAAGCTTTTGTTCACTAAAAAGCTTTCCTGTATAAAAAAAACGCATTCCAAATCTGCAGAAATCTGGAACGACTTCTCCTAAGCGATAGAAAGCTTTTAGATATACTTTTAACTACCAGGGCTTTGACTAATCAAAAAAACTCCCATCTGTAATACCTCGTCTTCTTTATTTTCAGAGATTTTGAATATTTTGATTTGTGTCAAGTCTACAGACTGGACTATAGTATGAACTATAGACTTGTCTATAGACTAGACTATATTCTAGTCAATAGACTGGACTATACTCTTAACTATAGTCCAGTCTAAAGACTCTAAACCATAGTCTAGTGTAAAGACTGGACTATAGTCTCAACTATAGTCTAGTGTAAAGACTGGACTATAGTCTGAACTATAGTCTACTGTAAAGACTGGACTATAGTCTCAACTATAGTCTAGTCTAAAGACTGGACTATAGTCTGAACTATAGTCTAGTCTATAGACTGGACTATAGTCTGAACTATAGTCTAGTCTATAGACTGGACTATAGTCTCAACTATAGTCCAGTCTATTGACTGGACTATAGTCTGAACTTTAGTCTAGTCTATAGACTGCACTATAGTCTGAACTATAGTTTAGTCTATAGACTGGACTATAGTCTGAACTATAGTCCAGTTTAGAGACTGGACTATAGTCTGAACTATAGTCTAGTCTGTAGACTGGACTATATTCTTAATTATAGTCTTATCTATAGACTGGATTATACTCTTAACTATAGTCTAGTATAAGGGCTGGACTATAGTCTGAACTATAGTCCAGTCTAAAGACTGGACTATAGTCTGAACTATAGTCCAGTCTAAAGACTGGACTATAGTCTTAACTATAGTCTAGTCTAAAGACTGGACTATAGACTTAACTATAATCTAGTCTAAAGACTGGACTATAGTCTGAACTATAGTCTAGTCTATGGACTGGACTATAGCTTGAACTATAGTCTGAACTATAGTCTAGTCTATGGACTGGACTATAGCTTGAACTATAGTCTAGTCTATATACTGGACTATAGTCTGAACTATAGTCTAGTCTATAGACTGGACTATAGTCTGAACTATAGTCTAGTCTATAGACTGGCATATAGTCTGATCTATAGTCTAGTCTATAGACTGGACTATAGTCTGATCTATAGTCTAGTATGTAGACTGGACTATATTCTTAATTATAATCTAATCTATAGATTGGATTATAGTCTGAACTATAGACTAGTATATAGACTAGTTTAAAGTCTGACCCATAGACTAGTATATAAACCGGATTATGTCAATATTCCTTATATTCAGCTTCTTAAAATTGGACGTTCTAAAAAGAAAACTCGGAAAAACTTCAAAAGTACTTTTGATATGAAACATCCCATATATGTCTATACAACGCATACGTATCTATTATATAAACCGGATTATGTCAATATTCCTTATATTCAGCTTCTTAAAATTGGACGTTCTAAAAAGGAAACTCGGAAAAACTTCAAAAGTACTTTTGATATGAAACATCCCATATATGTCTATACAACGCATACGTATCTATTAAAAACCAAAAATCTATTTTATTTATAAAAGTATTTTTTTTTTTATATATAAAATGAAAATGAAACCATAAAGATAAATAGCAATAAAAACCATTAAAATACAAATAACAACTTTAAGTAAAAAAATGACCAAATAAAAACTTAAAAAAAAATTTTCCATTATAAAGTAAAAACATAAAAACCAATCGTTGTTACCCACTGCACTCTGTTGTAGGTTTTAACTAAGGATAGTGTCACAGTCTCAGTGGATGCAGTGGTTTACTATCGCGTTTCGAATGCGACAGTTTCTATAGCGAACGTGGAGAATGCTCACCACTCGACACGATTATTGGCACAGACTACTCTACGAAACACAATGGGAACTCGGCATTTGCATGAGATACTCAGTGAACGTGTATCTATATCTGGTTCAATGCAGGTAAGCAACAAAAACAAAAACAACAAAACAAATATAAAAAATATACTATAAAAAAATCTGAAAAAAAAAACAAGAAATAAACACTACAAATATGTACTACAACTTTTATTTTGAATAAACTTTTACTTTATATACTCCCTATGTACTACTTATATATACGCACTGTCTAGAGAAAAAATTAATCCAGCCATTCCCATATATACCACTCACATACATCTACATACATACATATATTTATACCCTGCAGTTCCGAAGTTAGAATTAATTCTAAACCTGAGCTTTTTTAAGTAAAGAAAAACAAAACAAACGAATTTAACACTACTTCAATAACAGATACTTATATACACATTTGTTTCCCGAAAAACTGTTAATGGACTTATCCATAGACAAGTCAATAGACTTATCAGTGGACTTTAGAATGGTATATTCAATAGACTATGAACTAGTCAATACAATAATCTATTACCTAGCCAGTTGACTTCTATATACATTAGATTAATCGATATACTAGACTACATTCTAGACTTGTCCATAGGCAGATCAATAGACTTGGCCATAGACAGATCAAAAGACTTATCTTATAGGTCAATACACTTGTCCATATACAAGACAATAGACTTGTCAATGGGCTTTTTAATAGAATTTTCAAAAGACTATGGACTAGTCGGTATAACAGTCCATTGGCTGGTTAGTAGACTTGTACATGGACTAGATAAATGAATAGATTTGAATAGATGAACTATACAATACAATAGTCAGTAGAGTAGTCTATAATCTATTCCATAGACTAGACAAGAAGTTGAAGTGCTTTACGTGAATATCTGAGGTGTTGATTAGACGATTCACCACCGTCCCTTCGTACATGACGGTTACAATTTTTATACTGCCTATCTATGTACATTGTACAAACTCTTTTCTCGAGCTATCTAATATTTGAACATTGCTGCTCCATTACTTAATTTCCGAGATGCAAAAACATCACTCTGTTGATTCGGCAATAACATCGGTAGACCGAAACACAAATCCATCAAATCAGCCAAGAACACACTCTATTAAATCTGTTATGAACCCCAGGAAGGAAAGGAAAATTCAATTGTATCACTTATATAAGATACCAGCACACTTCTGATTCATCCGACAAACAACAACAATAACAGACACACTGACTCTAGGTATACGGGTGGGTAAGTTCTCACATTCATTCCGTATTATATACACTTTAACCAACACACTGTATTAAATCTGGTATGAACAGAGTAAACCCCGAACATACCTGGACAAGGAAGGAAAATTCAATTGTATCACTTATATAATGTACCAGCACACTTCTCATTCATCCGACAAACAACATCAGACACACTGACTCTAGGTATACGGGTGGGTAAGATCTCACATTCATTACGTATTATATACACTTACGCCAACGCACTTCTAACGATTTGTTCTACAGTCACTCCTTTGTCGGGTATCTGTTGCCTCGGCACCAGCGTCAAACTTATCCAGAATAAGAGACTTTACGTTGCATCAGTCTTTTAACTGACATTCTCTTCACGCAAACTTTTGTTTAAACCGCAGCCACAACTTGCACCCCTATTACCATAGAACCATATTATCTGGTTCTCTGATTCGAACCCATGTCAAATCACTTCAAAGAAAGGCTGAGGGTATATCTGATCACCTAAAATTTATGATTCCGACATACTGAAGATACTAGTAGTACCTCTTTTTTTCGACATACAACGATATAAAAATACGATGTTGATTGTGAATTGGGCAAATATGTATGTATATATGTATGTAAATATGACTATATTTTTCTATGTATGTATTTTTGCATGCAATTTTCACCAATTCGCTTGCAACATACGAGTTTATAAACAAAAGGCAGCTAAATAAAAAAACACAGAACTGTGTTATTACACATACAAAACACATGTACAAAATCCTCTTTTTATTTTAATTTATGTGAATTTCAGTTCAGGTGTGTTTATTTGTCTGCGTTGTATACATGTGTGTTTCCATTAAAATGATTTCGCTTAACTATCATTGGATTGAAAACATACGCACTTAAACTGAACTGAAAAGTTGTTGTACATAGATGCAATAAAAATCATCTGCTAGCATATCCAGCAATTCAAATGAACTGTAAGATGAAAATGTTATAATTAATATTCTACTAAAAATGTTGAGGTGAATTAGGGCGTTACAGACATTCGTTTATTTTACATATTTGTAATAAAAATTGCAAAGCGTTGCAGTAAATACATTGCTTCAGAACTTTAATGATTGGAGCTTTGATCATAGAGCAGATGCCACAAAAGAGTTTTTTTTTTTTTTTTGTTGGTAATATTTATTAGTGCAGGGTGAAAAAGCTCTTTCACTATATTATTTTGGGTTGAATGAATAAATTGGAAATATAAGTGAATTCTTTATAAACAGAAATAAAATATAAAAATTTTTAAGTTATTTAGTGCCTTACTTATTAGAGCCCTGCATGAGTGACTTAAATAATAAATTAAAACATTTGATTTTTTTCAAACACTGTGTTTGACTCACTCATTGTTTTATGAATGAAATGAATAGTATATTTGAAAATAAGGAATGTTAGTCAATACTCAATTCAAACGAAACAAGTAATGAGAGTGTTTGTGTGATTCAATTCAAGTAGTATACAGTGAGTGAATCGAGTGAAAGCAAAACAATTTTTAAGTTCGACAAATTAACAGATTTTTTGAATATTACTTCGAATTTTCGAACTTAATTTCGAATAGTCGAAGATAATATAGTAGCGTCATCAACTGTACTTAACACTGCCAAATTTCAGCCAATTTGGTCCACGGAAACTGGTTTTATCAGCTTTAAATTTTTTTCGAACATGAGTTCGAATTTTCGAAAAATTTTTTTTTAGTTTTTTGGACTCAAAGAATAATTTAAAAGCATAAAAAATTTTTCGAACATAACTTCGAATTTTCGAACTTAATTTCGAATATTCGAACATAATATTATCTTGTCATCAATTGTACTCAAGACTACCAAATTTCAGCGAATTTGGGCCACAGGAACTAGTTTTAACAGCATTCAAAATTTTCACCATTTATTCAAGAAAAAGTTTGAATCGATTCATTCGATTCAAACAATCTATTTTGTATTGTTTTAACATAAACAAATTGTTTACTCGCTCGATTTGAATGTAGTTGCACATTCACTTGATAGTACTCACAACGTTTGAGTATAACAAAACTTTGTAAATACTATTCTAAACCAGACCTGGGCGATTTCCATTAATTTTGCATTAACATTAAATTAAAAAAAAATTAATTTAATGTAAAAAATATTGCATTAACATTAAATTTTTAAAATTTAATGCATTAAATTTCCATTAACATTAAATATTTTTGAATTTAATGCATTAATTTTACATTAACATTAAATATTTTTGAAATTAATGCATTAATTTTGCATTAACATTAAATATATCTGAATTTAGTGCATTAATTTTACATTAACATTAAATAAGCAATAAAATTAATGCATTAATATTCCATTAACATTAATATATATAAAAATTGATAAACATAAATAAAAATACAGCTCAAAAGACCTCGATCTAACTAAACAACTAAAATTAAATAGGTTAAAGTCCTTTCTAATAACTCCTATATTCCATTCAAACTTGTGTATTTTAAATATGATATTTATATAAGATTCCACAGACAAAATAAACTAAAAAAGGAATATCTGGGAAGTGATATTATTCTTCTAATATGTATTATCGAGTATAGGACTTATTAGAAAGGACTTTAACAAAATAAACTAAAAATGGAATATCTGGGAAGTGATACTATTCTTCTAATATGTATTATCGAGTATAGGACTTATTAGAAAGGACTTTAACACATTCAATTTTACTTGAATTTAGTTAGACCGAGGTCTTTAGCGCTGTATTCTTATTTTTATAAATTATTTTATACATTAATGTTAATGGAAAATTAATGCATTAATTTTATTATTTATTATTTAATGTTAATGAAAAATTAATGCATTAAATTCAAAATATTTAATGTTAATGCAAAATTAATGCATTAATTTCACAAATATTTAATGTTAATGTAAAATTAATGCATTAAATTTAAAAATATTTAATGTTAATGCAAATTTAATGCATTAAATGTACCCATGTTAATGTTAATGCAATAAACTTGCATTAACATTAATTTTTTTTAATGTAGAAAAAATTGTTAATGCATTAACACATTTAATGCATTTATCCCAGGTCTGTTCTAAACAAACAATGAGTTGAGTGCAAAGCAATGAGTCACTCATTGTGTGTAGCAAATAAAGTTACTCATGCAGGGCTCTATTACTTATATCAATTTATCAAAGGTTTATAAAACAAATTTTTTATGAAAAATTGACTTATAGACCTGTGATAAATTGTTATGAATAAGAACCAGACCATATACCACACTATAGTCTACACTGCAGACTATACTCTAGAGACTGAAGACTAGACTATAGACTAGACTATAGACTAGACTATAAACTAGACTATAGACTAGACTATAGACTAGACTATAGACTAGACTATAGACTAGACTATAGACTAGACTAGACTATAGACTAGACTATAGACTAGACTATAGACTAGACTATAGACTAGACTAGACTATAGACTAGACTATAGACTAGACTAACTAGACTAGACTATAGACTAGACTATAGACTAGACTATAGACTAGACTTCAGACTAGACTATAGACTAGACTATAGACTAGACTATAGACTAGACTATAGACTAGACTATAGACTAGACTATAGACTAGACTATAGACTAGACTATAGACTAGACTATAGACTAGACTATAGACTAGACTATAGACTAGACTATAGACTAGACTATAGATTAGACTATAGATTAGACCATAGACTAGACTATATACTAGACTATATACTAGACTATAGACTAGACTATAGACTACACCATTTTCAACAGTAATTCAGAAAAGCTCAATTGTAAATGAGATTTTTCATTTGAAATTAAGAAAAGAACGGTTGAAAATGGGATTATTCATTTGATATTTAGAAAAGAACAATTGAAAATGAGAATTTTCATTTATAATTCAGAAAATATCAATTGAAATTGAGATTTTCCATTTGAAATTCAGAAAAGAACAGTTGAAAATGAGATTTTTTATTTGAAATTCGGAAAACTACAATTGAAAATGAGATTTTGCATTTCAAATTCAGAAAATTCCAATTGAAAATCAGATTTTCCATTTGAAATTCAGACAATTCCAATTGAAAATGAGATTTTTCAGTTGGAATTTAGAAAAATTCAATTGAAAATTCGATTTTTCATTTGAAATTCAGAAAACTATATGTATGGATATTTTTCAACCTCAAGTTAGAACAAAGAACATAGAATGTGCGTCTCATACAAGATAAATTTTCAATAGCGGGTCGTGATACATAAAGAGTAAGTGTAAATCATGACAACCCGCACGTCGCGATGCGTATTCTTATAATAAATATTCTTTTGTTAAAATTAATTGTAATATTATCATTTTCATTTACTTTTTTTCTCATTTTCAATTGCACTTTTCTGAATTTCAAATGAAAAATCTCATTTTCAACTGGAATTTTCTGAATTTCAAATGGAAAATCTCATTTTCAATTGGATTTTTATAAATTTAAAATGAAAAATCTGATCTTCAATTGTTGTTTTCCGAATTTCAAATAAAAATCTCATTTTCAACTGTTCTTTTCTGAATTTCAAAATGGAAAATCTCAATTTCAATTGATATTTTCTCAATTTAAAATGAAAATTCTCATTTTCAATTTTCAATTTCAATTGATGTTTTCTGAATTGAAATGAAGAGTTCTCATTTTCAATTGAAAAAGGTGTAGACTAGACTTTAGACTAGACTATAGACTAGACTATAGACTAGACTATAGACTAGACTATAGACTAGACTATAGACTAGACTATAGACTAGACTATAGACTAGACTATAGACTAGACTATAGACTAGACTATAGACTAGACTATAGACTAAACTATAGACTAGACTATAGACTAGACTATAGACTAGACTATAGACTAGACTATAGATTAGACTATAGACTAGACTATAGACTAGACTATAGACTAGACTATAGACTAGACTATAGACTAGACTATAGACTAGACTATAGACTAGACTTAGACTAGACTATAGACTAGACTATAGACTAGACTATAGACTAGACTAGACTAGACTATAGACTAGACTATAACTAGACTATAGACTAGACTATAAGACTAGACTTATACTAGACTATAGACTAGACTATAGACTAGACTTAGCCTAGACTAAATAGCTAGACCTATAGACTAGAACTATAGACAGAACTATACTAGACTATTAGACTTATACCTAATAGACTAGCATAGACTGACTATGACTAGACTATAGACTAGACTATAGACATAACTATAGACTTAGACGATAGACTAAAGACTATAGACTAGACCTATAGACTAGACTATAGACTAACTATAGACTATACTATATACTAACTATAGAAACTAGACTATAGACTAGACGATAAGACTAGACGAAGACTAGACTATAGACTAGACTATAGACTAGACTATAGACTAGACCTATAGACTAGACTATAGACTAGACTATAGACTAGACTATAGACTAGACTATAGACTAGACTATAGACTAGACTATAGACTAGACTATAGACTAGACTATAGACTAGACTATAGACTAGACTATAGACTAGACTATAGACTAGACTATAGACTAGACTATAGACTAGACTATAGACTAGACTATAGACTAGACTATAGACTAGACTATAGACTAGACTATAGACTAGACTATAGACTAGACTATAGACTAGACTATAGACTAGACTATAGACTAGACTATAGACTAGACTATAGACTAGACTATAGACTAGACTATAGACTAGACTATAGACTAGACTATAGACTAGACTATAGACTAGACTATAGACTAGACTATAGACTAGACTATAGACTAGACTATAGACTAGACTATAGACTAGACTATAGACTAGACTATAGACTAGACTATAGACTAGACTATAGACTAGACTATAGACTAGACTATAGACTAGACTATAGACTAGACTATAGACTAGACTATAGACTAGACTATAGACTAGACTATAGACTAGACTATAGACTAGACTATAGACTGTTGGGTAATACTTTAAGGAGTATTTAAATAAATATGTATGTTTGTGTATGAAAAACTTTCCATTCCTTCCCTCCTCCAAAACTAAATCCTTTCATATTTTCATAATTATATACTAAAACAAATACAATAAATTATCTTAATAAACACTTTAGGACAAAAATCTAGTAGAAATTTTGACTTAAATACAAGAAATGGTATGTTAAATGTTTATAAAATATTTTCTAAAAAAAAATTTCCAACAAATATAAACCAATAAAACACAGCTACAACTGGATGAAGCTACCGATGCCTGGGGTATTAAAGTTGAACGAGTAGAAATGTTAGTAATTAACAAAAATTTTATAATAAATTAAATTTTCTTAAATTATTAAAAATTTTGAATAATTTCTAAAAACAGCAAAGATGTGCGCTTGCCAGTGCAACTGCAAAGAGCCATGGCGGCCGAAGCCGAGGCAGCAAGAGAAGCCCGAGCTAAGGTAATAGCAGCCGAGGGTGAGCAAAAGGCTTCGAAGGCCTTAAGAGAAGCCTCAGAGGTGATTGGTGATTCACCAGCAGCTTTACAATTAAGATATTTACAGGTATGGATTGGATTTAATAAGAAAGCCGAATTTACTTTTTAAAACTAAAACTGTTTTCCTTTTTCATAGACCTTAAGCACAATTTCGGCTGAAAAGAATTCAACGATTGTTTTTCCTTTGCCCATTGACTTGATAACATACTTTTTGAAAACAACCGATGAGAAGACGCAAAAAAATGCAGCCAAAGCCTGTGCAGCCATTGCCCAAACAACGGTGGAAGCCATTGCCCAGCAACAGCAATCAACCGCCATGTAAAAGCTACATTTTTTTGTCAAACTGCAGACAACAACAACAACAACAAAACTTGGACAAATAAATAACACAAGCTGAATGTAACTGAAAAATAAAACCAAAAAAAATATATGAAACGAAAATACTTTACAAAATAAACAACTTCAAAAAACTCGTAACAGTAACAACATAAACAGCCAAAAAAACAAAGAACTTTTTATGTGTAAATTTATATTAGAATTGAAATAGCAACAACAAATATGATAAAAAAAAGTTTATTTAATATGTATGAAGAATGCATACATACATATAACATAGACGTATCTAACAAAATCTTTAATAAAATTCTTGATTATTTTAACAACATTTTAGGATTTGTGGTAATTTAAAGAAATCTTGCTCTTTAAAATCTGCTGAAATATTTATTTTCAAATAAATTTTTCTTAACTTTTTTTCCTAGATTATTTGTTAAAGAGTGTGTAATAATATATAAATAATAAAAAAAATTATCCAAAAAAAAAAATTAAATAAAAATATCTGTGTCAACATTTCATTTTACAAACTGTGAATAAATGTTTACTTTATCTACTTGATGACAAAAACAACATTATTAGAAAAAAAATCTACTACACAAATAAAAATGTAATTCATTGGTTTTCTTTGAACAGTAGCAGTAACAACAACAAGAACAAAAAACATAAGTATTAAAATATATATTTACATATTTTACATACAGATGCATACATACATACTAACGCAGACATATGAATAAAAACATATATATGTACTACATATACATTTACTATTTATATGAGAAAATAAAAATGAAATAAATTTGAACTTGATCGTATGTACATTAAGGATATTGTAATACTTGTTTATGTATGTGTAACTACTACATTTGCTTGCATGTTTGCTGACAGAACTTTCAACAGAATTTTCACCAGAACTGGTCGCAATTTTCAAAATAATTTAATCAAATTTGTCACATACTCTTGTTTTTAAAATCGGTTCAAATTGTTAAAATATTTTGGAATTAGGGTAAAAAATACACATTTTTAATATACTCACTGGTGTGGGGTGTCATATGGTCGGCCATGCCCTACTATACATTCTTACTTGTTAATATTGCAAACATTCATTCAGTACACCATGCATTAGTTAGTTAAATCAATCAAATCCGAAGAAATACAGGAAGGACTTATTGTGCGCTTCAATATCAATGTTTCTGATGGAAATCAATTCCCCTACCTCCAGTCTGACAGACAAGTTAGATCACTAACTAGTAACCTACTGGAAGCACAAGTTTCTGGAAGCACAGGCTTCAGATCTCCCTACTTTCGGTCCGACAGACTAAAAAACTAATTATTAACTTACCGGAGATTAGTTAATAAATCAGTCTAAAGACTTGTTCATAAAGTACTAGTACTAAGATTAGTTCATAGACTAGTCTGTAGACTAGTTCATGTCAGTGGACTAAACAATATACTTGTAATCAGACTTTTCAGTAGACTAGTCAGCCAGTTCATGGTTAAGTCCACAGAATAGCAAATAAACTAAGGCAATATACTATATCATAAGTGAATCAATAGCCCATAGTCCATAGCATAGTCAGTAGACTAGTCAATAGACTTATTCTTAAAGTTGACAATAGATTAGCTAATTGACTATTCCATACAATAGCCAATTGACTAGTCAATAAACTAGCCCATAGACTTGACCATAGACTACTCAATAGATCAGTCCATAGATTAGGCAGAACACCCGTGTATAGCACAATTCGTAGAGTAGTTAATAGACTTGTCAATAGTAATATAAAGATTAGCCAATAGACTAGTGCCCATATTAGTGAGTAAACTTGGCAATAGATAAAGAAATCTACAAATAATTAAGCACTTTTAACCCATATTAGCCTTATTTTGTGCTAAAATTTCTGAAGCTAGGTTCGATTAGGTTGAAAACAAATATAGCATCAGATTCGCTAAATGTTCCATGCCACTAAAACGGCTCCTCTTTGATGTTCACAGCAAATGCTTTCATAGACATCTATGTCCAATGTAATGTAAAATTGTAACTAATTTTACTCCATAATCAACATATTTAAGACAGTTTGTTCTGAATTCCAGGGAGCTACTTGTATGGGGCCTAGATAAATCATAAATTTTTAATATCAAAAAATAATCTTTAAATAACGGAGGTACACAAAGGGAAAAAAGAAATATACACGCCTGGTATCAATTTAACACCGAATCGTTTATAATTTTTCAATAACATCCGTTGTCAAAGTGTATACATACGTACGACAACTCTATGTAATGTTGACAACATTGCAACAATTCGTTATCGAAATTTAAATTTTATACACTTCCGTTGTCTAAATGTTAACAAACGTGGTAAGTTCACTATTGACAAACAATCCGTTGCCAGTAGTGAACTTACCACGTTTGTTAACATTTAGACAACGGACGTTTATGTCGTACATATGTATATACTTTGACAACGGATGTTATTGAAAAATTATAAACTTTTTGTTGTCAATTTGGTACCAATGTGTATATTTCCTTTTCCCTTTGTGTAGAATTTAATAGACAACAAAGACTCAAAACCTTGTAGAGTTTCAAAATACTGATTCCTGTGGTGATAGTTATGCTGTTGTGAGATGAGAGCGTTGTGCTCAAACAAACATGTTCTCCACTCTAATGCAGATGAGATAAAACTTCCAAATACCACGAATTAGTGAGATTCGCTAGAATATAAAGTTTTTGGCAGATTTCACCAACTCACTAATCTTTTAATATACAAAGTATGTATGGAACAAACTGTTCTACTATGTCACCATTAAACTTTTTGATGCGCCAATAGTATCCCTAAGCGTATAAGTGATATTTAATAAATTTTCAATATAAATATGACTCATACGACACATTATACAACATTTTTTATACTACCAGTAGATACATACATATGTATGTCGTTATATTGAAACAATTAGACAAATTTCTTCAATTATTATTGCTGTAATAATCCATCAATTAATTTATATAATCGTATTAAGTTAAAACTTAAGGCAAGTCTGAATTAGAGTAGACTTCAAACAAAAGATACATAGAATAAATTATTCTCTTAAGTCAATAGGGAAACGATCACTGCAAAAACCTTTTTTTACGCAATCATTGTTTCCCAGAGAGTATGAGCGATAATTAATAAATTTCCTACATAAGTATTACTCATACGGCACATTGTACTATCTTTATTGTAATACAAAGTACATACAGTTTAACGAACCTGTACATATATTAATGTTGTCACACCTGTTCGTAAAATTGAATAGTTTGTTATATGCAGAATTAACTAAAACGTTGATTTTGTAAGTAGATTTTGGGATTGATCTTCTTTTTAACTAATATCGCTAGACTCGTACTTCTAACCCATTGATGAACATTAAAGTTGTTTTCTGAAGTGGGCCTTATATAGCTTATTGATCAAATAGATCAAATTATTCTACTAAGTCACCAGTAAAAACACCACTGCAATTTCTATGCAATCGTTTTATCCCCTAAGCGTATGAGTGATAATTAATAAATTACCAACATAAATATTACTCATACGGCACATTTACTAAATTTTTTTGTACTGTAGATTGAAACACTTAAGCTTGTCTAGACAAATTTCTTTAACTATTATTACTATAAAAAATTAAAAAGTTCTGTTGCAAAAACTTCCAAATGTTCTAGTTACATTATTATATGTAAAGTGCATAAACAAACAAAAAAAATTTAATGAATATTAAGAAAATTATTTAGAATATTTACATACATATTAGAATTTTTTCCATCAACAAAATTTTTTTTTTTAATAAATCTATATGTGGTCTTATTAAATAAACAAAAAATTCAAAATAAACAAAATATTAAGAAACATGTAAAACTTTACAATTTATTAACGAGACAAAAGAAAAACAACAGAAAAAAACACGAATAAATTAAATTTGTATATTTGATTGTAGTTGTTAATATTAAATAAAAAATATATAAATACATAATTCAATAAATATGTTAAAATAAATAAACTAGGTTTAAATTAATGAAAATAAATAAAATCTTTAAAATATTTTGTAATTTTATACTCTTCTTGTTCTAACTGCCTCAATTTAAGTTGATTTAATATAATAATTTAAAATTCCATTGACAACTGATTTTTTTTTTTTTTCATTAAAACTAGACTATAGACCAGATTATAGACTAGACTATAGACTAGACCATAGACTAGACTATAGACTAGACTATAGACTAGACTATAGACTAGACTATAGACTAGACTATAGACTAGACTATAGACTAGACTATAGACTAGACTATAGACTAGACTATAGACTAGACTATAGACTAGACTATAGACTAGACTATAGACTAGACTATAGACTAGACTATAGACTAGACTATAGACTAGACTATAGACTAGACTATAGACTAGACTATAGACTAGACTATAGACTATACTATAGACTAGAAATATACTAGACTATAGGCTAGACTATAGGCTAGACTATAGACTAGACTATAGACTAGACTATAGACTAGACTATAGACTAGACTATAGACTAGACTATAGACTAGACTATAGACTAGACTATAGACTAGACTATAGACCAGACTATAGACTAGACTATAGACTAGACTATAGACTAGACTATAGACTAGACTATAGACTAGACTATAGACTAGACTATAGACTATAGACTAGACTATAGACTAGACTATAGACTAGACTATAGACTAGACTATAGACTAGACTATAGACTAGACTATAGACTAGACTATAGACTATAGACTAGACTATAGACTAGACTATAGACTATAGACTAGACTATAGACTAGACTATAGACTAGACTATAGACTAGACTATAGACTATAGACTAGACTATAGACTAGACTATAGACTAGACTATAGACTAGACTATAGACTAGACTATAGACTAGACTATAGACTAGACTATAGACTAGACTATAGACTAGACTATAGACTAGACTATAGACTAGACTATAGACTAGACTATAGACTAGACTATAGACTAGACTATAGACTAGACTATAGACTAGACTATAGACTAGACTATAGACTAGACTATAGACTAGACTATAGACTAGACTATAGACTAGACTATAGACTAGACTATAGACTAGACTAGACTATAGACTAGACTATAGACTAGACTATAGACTAGACTATAGACTAGACTATAGACTAGACTATAGACTAGACTATAGACTAGACTATACTAGACTATAGACTAGACTATAGACTAGACTATAGACTAGACTATAGACTAGACTATAGACTAGACTATAGACTAGACTATAGACTAGACTATAGACTAGACTATAGACTAGACTATAGACTAGACTATAGACTAGACTATAGACTAGACTATAGACTAGACTATAGACTAGACTATAGACTAGACTATAGACTAGACTATAGACTAGACTATAGACTAGACTATAGACTAGACTATAGACTAGACTATAGACTAGACTATAGACTAGACTATAGACTAGACTATAGACTAGACTATAGACTAGACTATAGACTAGACTATAGACTAGACTATAGACTAGACTATAGACTAGACTATAGACTAGACTATAGACTAGACTATAGACTATAGACTAGACTATAGACTAGACTATAGACTAGACTATAGACTAGACTATAGACTAGACTATAGACTAGACTATAGACTAGACTATAGACTAGACTATAGACTAGACTATAGACTAGACTATAGACTAGACTATAGACTAGACTATAGACTAGACTATAGACTAGACTATAGACTAGACTATAGACTAGACTAAGACTAGACTATAGACTAGACTATAGACTAGACTATAGACTAGACTATAGACTAGACTATAGACTAGACTATAGACTAGACTATAGACTAGACTATAGACTAGACTATAGACTAGACTATAGACTAAACTATAGACTAGACTATAGACTAGACTATAGACTAGACTATAGACTAGACTATAGACTAGACTATAGACTAGACTATAGACTAGACTATAGACTAGACTATAGACTAGACTATAGACTAGACTATAGACTAGACTATAGACTAGACTATAGACTAGACTATAGACTAGACTATAGACTAGACTATAGACTAGACTATAGACTAGACTATAGACTAGACTATAGACTAGACTATAGACTAGACGATAGACTAGACTATAGACTAGACGATAGACTAGACTATAGACTAGACTATGACTAGATTAGACTATACTATAGACTAGACTATAGACTAGACTATAGACTAGACTATAGACTAGACTATAGACTATAGACTAGACTATAGACTAGACTATAGACTATAGACTAGACTATAGACTAGACTATAGACTAGACTATAGACTAGACTATAGACTAGACTAGACTAGACTATAGACTAGACTATACTAGACTATAGACTAGACTATAGACTAGACTATAGACTAGACTATAGACTAGACTATAGACTAGACTATAGACTAGACTATAGACTAGACTTTAGACTAGACTATAGACTAGACTATAGACCAGACTATAGACTAGACTATAGACTAGACTATAGACTAGACTATAGACTAACTATAGACTAGAATATAGACTGGACTATAGAGTAGACTAGACTATAGACTAGACTAAACTATAGACTATACTCGACTATAGACTAGACTAGAATAGACTAATAAAAAAGTTTTAGTAACAAAATTAATATTGTTATTATTAATATAATTTTTTATTTATAATTACATTTAGTTTTTAAAAAATTGGAAACTTATTATCGAAACTGAATCCTTTTATATTTCCTTATAATCCCAAAGAATAAAACTAAAATTACATAAATATTTATTCCCAAAATTCAATGTTCAAATCTTAAAAGAAAATTGTACTCCTAATAAAAATCAATAAAATAAAACACAAAATTCTTTAATACGAATTTATAATAGAAATTGATGATAATCTTTATATAAAATTAAAATTTTAAAATAAATAAAAACCCTAAAAACATTCAAAACAAACCTCAAATTTTTCAAAAATAAAACAAAACCTAAACAAATTTTCATAAAATTAATTTAATTCTAATTTAAAAACAAAAAAAAGAAAAATAACTGTTAAAATTATAAAAAAATATAAACAACAACTTTACAATAAAAATTTAAATATGTTTGTATGTATGTAAAATGCACA